CGCGCGAGCCCGCCGCCCCCGCCATGACCCGGTGGGCTCGGCGGAACGGCCCTCCCGGCGAGAAGGCGCTGGAGGCCACCCCCTGGGAGGAGATGGCGAACGGTGCCGAGGGGCGGGAGGGCCGGGCGGGGCCGCTGTCCCTGAAGAAGGAGGAAGAGAAGAAGAAGAAGAAGAAGAAGAAGAGGGACTACCTGAATGAAGACGTTAACGGGTTTGCGGCGTTCCTGAAGCAGATCTCGCGGGATGGAGAGGTGACCGAAGCAGAGAGTGCTGGGTTGGAGAAGGAGGTGGCGGTGGCCTTGAAAAGGGACAAACGGCGGGAGGATAGGAGGCTGAAGAGGCAAGAAAAGAAGAGAAATGCCATGGTGAGTTTTGCCTTGAGTCGTGGGTGTTTGCCTCTCCGTGGCAGCTTGTTAAAAACTTAGGAAAGGCTCTTTCTGGGAAACGCAGATGCCTTATTCCCTGATGATCCTCCTGGGAGGCAGAGAGCCTTGCCTGCTAGAAGCATAGCATATGCAAAGTGGCATTTCAAGTTAATAAAGTGAATTTAAGTATCTCAACTTTAAAACAAACAGTGAGTTTCAGCTTAAGTTTTAGCCTTTAGTGCAGCTTTTCTGAACACTGTTCTTGCTACCCTTTTATGAATTCCCTCCCCCTCTTGACTCCTAGGTTAAAATAATTCAGTGCATCTCTCTATGTAATTCATCGGTACAATGATTTGGGGCCTCTTTCTGCAGTATTTCCTGCTTGACATTTGAAGTGAGATCTCTAGCAGACTGTAATGAGACTGTCCAAAAGCAGTTATCTCAGCACAAATTTATGCATTCAGTATGAATTTATGCTGAATGTAATCTAGGATTATGGTAAAGAGAGTGTATCTATTTTGAGATGTCTGAGTTCTTCATGAGTAAATTGTAGGACTGGTGCAATGTTGCTTATATTGGCTTCAGCACTTACTGCAGTAGTACTTAAGGAGCTTGGGGAACTGTGCTGTAGTTGAAATTGCATACCATCATTCATCCAGGGCGCTCAGTTGCCAATGAGTGAATACCCTGTACAGTGTGGTGTTGGTGAAAGGAGAAAAGTACCTGTTACAATACGCTTTAATGGCATAGACCACTGACAGTTATTTTGTGACAGGGTGCAATGTCTCTTCTGTCTAGCTGTTTTTCCCTGAGGTGAAAATCACCTGGTATGTTTGCCTTCTAAAAACCCAGGCGGCCTTATTTGGCTGGGATTTTCAGGTCTGTTGAGTGCCATTCACAGAATCTTGTCTTTTTATGTTAGACTAACGTCAAATCTCAGCACTAGAGAGAGTACCCTCAAGGTTTCAGCCAAGAGTAGTAGTGGTCTAGTAAAAGTCCACTGGTAATCAGGTAATAGGAGGAAGTGAATTCTTCAGTAATGCCACCTGTAAGTGCTGGTTTTTGCTATGTGAACTGTCTATGAAAATGCATATAATTTAATTTTCATTTTCAAAGGTATGTTTCCACTGTAGAGAACCTGGCCATGGTGTTGCTGATTGTCCTGCAGTACTTGAAAGTCAAGATATGGGTACAGGAATCTGTTACCGGTGTGGATCCACAGAACATGATATCAGCAAATGCAGAGCAAAAGTAGATCCAGCTGTTGGTATGTCTCAGAAATTTGTGGGTTTTTTAAGTGCTTTGGTCTGAGTTTTCTGACTGCTGAAATATAAGCTTTGTGTTTTAGTAATTTAAATGTTCTGAGGAGATAGATTAACATATTTAAAGGAAAACAATATTGTAACAATGAACCTAACAGTGTAAGAAACAGTTTAGTGTTTATAGTAAAATAGTGTAGTATAATATTGTAGTGATAGTGTTTTCACAGTTGTCTGTGACTTTATAAAAGTTTTTTAGTGTGGATGATAAACTGTATGGGATTTTGCAGGGGCGTTTCCATATGCAAAATGTTTCATCTGTGGTGAGATGGGGCATCTGTCAAGGTCATGTCCAGATAATCCCAAAGGATTGTATGCCGAAGGTGAGTGTGCTAATTTACTAAAACCAAAACACATTTTTCATATTTGCCTGATGGAGAACAAAGTAACATTGTCAGTGAATGAAGATCCAACTAAAAGGAATTTCTCAGTATCTTTTACTCTTGGTAAAAGCAGATAAATTCTGGGGAATTCAGTGTTAATATTGATTACCTGGGGATTTCTGTTTTAATTGTAAGCTTGGTGTTAAATGATGAGATGCAATGTATGAGAACTTGCTTGTGCTTGCAATTTCAAGAGGCGCACAAAGAAACAAAATCATAGTAGGCTGTATGTATGTAGTCAGTGTGTATTTCTGTTTATGTATACCAAAGTAGGTGGTAAAAACATACTATCATACTATAGCTTAAGACTTTGGGAGATGTTCACGCAAAACGAGGACTGTCACTAGAAAGAGGACATCTTCGGTTTAAGTGACTTTAATGAGAAATGTGATCCAAGTTTGAAGATTTCGCTCAGATTCTGTTCTGCCTGTTTTGGCACTTGCAAATAACATTCTCTCTCCCAGTAGAAACTTGAGGTCTGGCAAACTCAAAAGGGTGATCTTAACAGCACAGTTAAATCAGAAGAAAAATCACTTCTACTTTCAATGTTTGGATTATAAGTAGAATTTATATTTTGTATCTCAGTACCTTCAGTTAGATTACCTGTCTCTTGGGAGTTCCTATTAATTTCAAAAGTTCCTTTGAATATGAATTTCAGCAGAATTCAGCTTGTTTCTCAAAAAGAGAGCTCCCAACAAATCAGAAATATTCATTGTGTGGTGACTGGAATTTGTAGTATGTGATGCTTTACAGAGCAATGTAATTTCAAACAGCTCTGTCTGTCTGTTGGATGTGGAGAGACAGAGGACGCTGTGTTTGCAGGCTTCCAAAGCTGGCTGCATATCTGCTCCACGATGTTATCTTATTGTGCCTAGGAGTGCGGAGTTCTCCACAGGGACATTTCCTTATCTTTTTTACAGGTTGCCTCTACAGAAAAGTAGAACAAGATTTTCCAATATAGATATAAGAGCAAAACAGCTTTAGGGGGGTTGTTTTGTGCTTGGGTTTTTGATCTATTTTTTCCCAGATGAGTGACAACTTTGTCTCTTAACAGGTGGCTGCTGCAAACTTTGTGGCTCTGTGGAGCACTTCAGAAAAGACTGTCCAGAAAAACAGAATGCAGGTGAGATGCAGGGGAGCATACATCGTTACCGTACTTGTTTGGGAATGAGTGCTTTTATGTGGAGGGGAGGGGGGCATTAAGGTGCAAAGCAAAACTTGAATTTTCAGTTAAAAAATAATTAGCTAGTGGGTTTCTGAAGATAATAAGAGCTAACGTGTATTTGTTAGACAGTATTCATGCTGCTGTTCACAACTTTAGCAGCTGTATAACAGGACTGGTTTCTTCTGATGATGATTTCTGTGTGAAGTGGTGGAACTGAATATAATGTCAGTTGCAGGGTGGTAGTACTGGCAGCTTGTAAAAGCTGTGTGTGCAAGCAAGTGTTTGAGTCATTCAAGACAGGAGAGAAAGAGGAGGCAGGAGATCAGTCTGGCTAGATTTACCAGCTAATAGGCTGCTTGCTTATGTGTTCTTCAGTTATCTGCATGGGTGGAAAAATTACATTTTATACAAAAAAACCCTGTGCTAAGGAAGGCAAAAGCGTCAAACAAGGGTATGAAGAATGATTCTGTTACTGAAGTTATGATACATTTGTGCATTTTTCTTGTATGGCTTGTAGAATTTTTGGTTTAATGATGTGCCATAAACTTTTGTGGAATTTATGTAAGAAATATTTATGGAGGCCATACAGGCCTATGTTTAGCGGTTTTCTGTATCTGATCCTATATATATATATGATAGAAGATGATTTTGGAAAAGATGATTTAGGACAAGAGGAAATGGCCTGAAGTTACACCAGGGGAGGTTTAGATTGGATGTTAGGAAGAAGTTCTTCACAGGAGGGGTTGTTAAGCATTGGAACAGGCTGCCCAGGGACGTGGTGGAGTTGCCATCCCTGGAGGTATTTAACAGATGGGTAGATGTGGTGCTGAGGGACATGGCTTAGTGGTGGTTTTGGCAGTGTTAGGTTTACAGTTGTATTCAGTGATCTTAAAGGTCCATTCCAACCTAGACAGTTCACTGTGACAGCATTGGTAAGAATTTTAATGTTCTTTGAAACCAGTTTGCATATGCAAAGTACGTGTAGATTGACTACAGGAAGATAGGTGGTAGCTGGCAAGGAAGTTTAGGCACTACAGCTTATTGTTGCTTCAAGTGGAGTCATTTGGCCTGCTTTAATATACAGAAAGTAATCCAAGTAAACATTGATTTATCCATGGAATATTCTTGGTATAATTTGATTTGCTCTCAAAATTAGTTTGTATTTTGAAAAAGAAATAGAGGTTGGTTAGCGGTGTTTTCTGTAGGAAAGGGTCGTTAATTGGTCTAAATAGCATTTAAACATCAAAAAGATGGCATTGATTATATGCAGGGATGCAAATTGAGAAATGTAAATTTTGCTGTATTCTGCACCCTCTAGTTTAGTTTTTGCTTGACATACCCCAAAAGCTTCATCCTAAGAGTTACTAGGACTTATGAGACAGTTGATAATGTATGATTTGCATACTCTGAGTGTTTCTTTGGTCAGTCAAACAGGAAAAATCAGTAGTGATTTCTGAACCTTGTCAATCTGTGTGGGGGAAGAAAAGGGTTTTACAAAACACAAAAAAGCCACTCCAACGACATTGTGTAAAGAGAGTTGGCTTCAGAGCTAGAGCTAAAATGATAGGTCTTTGGTGAACCAGTGACAGGCCCTTGTGGCCAAAATCTTCCTCAAATGTGGAAGTTTGGTATAAAGGTAATGCTTAGCTTTTCCGTCATCTCTTGTCTCTCACTCTGCAGATCAGGTTACGGTTGGGCGATGGGCCATTGGAATGAGCGCAGATTATGAAGAAATTACAGAAGCACCAAAGCTGCAAAAAACAAAAGTGAAAGTACCCAAAATTATTACTTTTTGAAGGCCTCTTGGCTCTAAACCACAGTTATCCTGCACTGCTTCACTCCAGAGTGGTGACTGCACAGCGTGGATTGCTGGTTCCAGAAAATCAAGCAGACTGCTGCAGCTAAATTACTATTTTTTTTGTCCCACCCATTTTTCCAGTTTGCCTCCCAGGCTCACCTAGCTTACTGAAAAGCTGCAAACAACAGAAACGCAGCAAGTGGGTATTTTATTTTTATATATCTCTGCCGTAATACTTCCTTCCCTCTGAGTCACGTTCCCTCTCACTGGCAGCTCGCTGAAGAGGGAAATTGGCTTCTTCTCCTAACAGGGACCTGTTTTCAGTAACCAAACAGGGTATGTGCATTTTATCACGGGCACCTGTGACCGCTGGGTTTTGGTGGTCAGTATTGTTACCTTAAGAGTGCTGCTTTTACCTATCGGAGATATGAACGCAATCATGCTGATCTTATTAAGAGTATTTCTCTGAAAGACATTGTGGGTATTTTCTAAAGACTCTTGTAGGGTTCTGTTTTGGTTTTGCCTTCTCCTTTTAGAAGGAATGATTTCTTGCTCTGTGTGTACAAGCTTGAGCTGTCTCGTACTGAAATTATCAAGTAAACCCTGCAGCCTGTAGAGCCTGGGGGTGCAATTACCACTACTCAGCTAAATATGCACATGCATTGTTGATGGCTGTTGGATTGTTTTGAGTATTTGTTCACTAGTAGATACAAAATCATGCCCTTCCTCTGATATCTGTGGTGAAGAACACCTAAAAAGAGTTGGAGAGCAAGTGAACAGCTTGCTTAGTTTCTTTTTTTCAAGGAAAGTGCTCAAAAATCTTCAACGTTTCCATCACTTGGTGGGTTTGGGAGTAAACTTTGTATTATGTGTGTCTGCTTAATGGCAGATTTATTTATTTTTTAAATGGAGGCTGCAGCCTGAAAACCTGCAGCCTTAGAAAAACTGATACATATTAAAAATAAGTTATGAAGCCAACTCAAAAGAGACTTTCTGCAGTATCTCTCCAGGTACTGTAGTAATTCAGCCTACACTGACAGTGGTGGCAGGGTTTCACTTGTGTCTGATCGTCTGACCCAAGATGAATGAGGAAGCACCATGTTTCTGGAGACATGCACCTTGAGCTCATCTCACATGGAGCGCTTCACTCTGAACCGGCATCCTGGTGCAGTTGTGGGCAGCGCAGGCAGGTGCTGTGTGGGGTCTCTGCACCGCACTCCGCTGTGTGGGGTAGGCAGGCACCCACAACATTGGGCTTCTCGGTTCTTGCGGCAGCTCTGGTGGCCATCGGACAAATGCGGTACTTCCCTGTCCCTAAAATCTTAAATGTGCCTTCAAAAAACTTCAGCTTGTGTTATACAGTCATAAGAAACAGTCCTTGGGGAAAAGCTACACAGTGGTAAAGCTATTGAGTCAGGGACAGTAGTAGTGAAATAACTTAAAAGGCAGGCCTGATAAAACCCACAGGTAAATGTTACTGAGAACTAGACGAAGCAAGTAGTCTTGTAACATTGCCAAGGACAGCTCCTGGTAACGGACGAGAACATGTCTCGAAAAGCAATAGAAACCAACCCTGCAGTCTGGACAAAGACCAGAGAAGAACTGGGTCTGTGCAAAGACAAAAGGTTACTTGCGGTGATGAAGAGGAATCATCAGCCTTCATCCTCGCGACCCTCAACGACCACCACCAGGAGGCACTGCGCAAGCGCAGTTGGGAGGAGTTTATGAAAATGATTTCTTAGAGCTAATTTTAATACAAAGTGGGGACAGGTCATGTATATGTATAGGCATATTGGGAAATCTCATGATTATGTAATCAAATAATACATATATTTGAGAAAGCCGCTGCATTAGGCGCACACGATTGGTGGGGCAACCCCCTGTGCTGCCCAGCACTGAGTAAAACACACCTACTTTACAACTTTCTAAGTTGTGGAGTCTGCTTTCCGCATGTCACTATTGCTTCTGAAGATTAATTTACGCTTTCAGTGAGTACCCTAATGGTGCCTTGGTGAGAACGCCAAAGGAACACCAGAGAGCAAACTTGGCCTCGGGGCTGGGTTTTGAGGTTCTCAGGACCAGCCACTGAAACCATGGGTTGTAAGAGTCGATCAGAAGATCAGTGTTGTCTCAGCACTTTCATCAGTGATGAGGCCCCCAAAACCTGGGCTAACAGCTTGACCTGAGTTTGCAGCAGCTGGCTGTCATGAGACTTAGAGAAAGGACTGCAGTGGGACCATTGTATGTGGGTACAAGCCATGTCGATACCTTGGTACGAAAGTACGGACAATGTCAGAACATGGTACAAGCCTATTCTACTGGAGCAGCAAAGCGAAGAACTGCTGTTGAAGAAGATGGACTGCACTGGCTGTGCCAGCATCGATGACGTAATCTCGAACCTCAGTTGAACTTTCCTCATTATAATGTCATTATAATACAAAAGCACACCTCCTGGTAAGAAGCTACCCACCTCCGAAGCTGACCACGCCTCAGACACTCCTCTCCGGGCATGCGTGGAAGTCTTACTCCAGACAGGTGGAGATTGGCACCTTTCCATGGGACAGAGGTGGAGTGGAGGTGGGTCCAAGGAGCGAGGTGTGCTACCTAACATAAAAGATGGTTCCTCAACAACTGATCTCCCAAAGATCTTCCCCACCGAAAGACCACAACGGTTGATGAAGAAGCAGTGGAACGCCTTCTGGATTCGGGACCATTGGGACGCCTGTGGACCCGTGGTGGTAGCTATAATCCTCTTTCCCCCCCTTTTTACTTCATCTTTCCTATTTTTCTTTCTATCGCAAGCCGCTTTACGGGCAAAACCAATAAAGTGATTGTGTGTTGAAAGTGTAACTCCCTGGGCCTGATGCCATTTCTTTTTGCGCTTCGAGATCACAGCTGAAATGAACCATCACGCATCCACCGAGGAGTGGACCGTGACACGGGTTTGGAATGTACTTTTCTTACAGCAAAAAACAGGGATTTAATGGTTTGCATATATTTTATATTTGTACATGTCAATTATTTTTAATAAAACGCTGCTAAAGAATACAATAGTTAGAGCTCTTATTTTAGGTTTCCTGGTTCTGCTCTGGATACAAAGACACATTGGGTTGACTAAGGGTGTGTATGTTGAGTTTATAATAATCAGAGCACACATTTAAATGGAGGAGTGGATGTGGATGAAATCAAGGATTTCTAACGGTTTTAATTAACTCTTGAATTAAAGTGCAAAGCAGCATCACTGTAATGTGGATGTTTTGCAACACATTTATCCCAGCTTAAAAAGTGTTTCCCTTTCTATTATATGAACAAGTATATTGTTTAAAAAGCATCTTTTTAGATAATTTCCTGTCTTTAAAGACTTCATGATATTGTAACATGATTTTTTACCCATAGGAACTTGAAGCTCTGCCCCTTGACTTTCTTAGTGGTGCCAATACTTGCCAGATAAGGGGTTGATGTGTGGGTTGTAGTTTCAATGCGCAGCCTCTCCTCCCGAAGAGATGGCTGCCACAGCTCGCAGTAAGATGTGGGCACCCAGCTGTGCTACTGCAAGCTGAGGCAGAAGCATCCCTTTGGCAGACTGCTAAGTTACGTGGTGTATGACATGTATCTTGGAGGAAAAGAAAATTCACTGTTCCTTTCTCACAGCTGACACTGACACTTCTGCTTGGCGAAAGCGACTGCTAAAAACAGGATGACTGAGAGCGCAGTTGTGGCAAAAGAAAGCCCGCAAGAAGCGGTGGATTAACATTTTCTGGAAATGGTGGAGCACAAGCAGGGCATGCTAGCTTGCAGCTTGCCCACCTTCTGAGCCCAGCCTTCTCTTCGGCGCAGTGATACAGTCAGCCCTCCTTGTAGTCTTTCTCTGGAGGTCAGTGAGCCTAACAACCATCACCAGGTAAGACAACCTTGAGTATCCTATCTGTTGCTTTGATCCATCTTGTACTATAAAAACACTTGTCTACACCTGAGTAGTGGTCTGTTGTTGTCCCCTGAGAAGAAATAATGGACTTGTTCGGACTTAGAAAATCACAGGCTACTGTCTCTGTGCGAATTTCAGTATAAAGGCAGCAGCTGTTTCCAGGTAATGACACATGTGCTTGCTTGCCTGGGGCTGGGAGCATGTACGCCTCCCTCTTGTCCCCGGGCTCAGTGCCTGCTGAGGGAGATGAGGTACTGCATTCTAAAACAGCTGCACAGGTTAGCGATCGTCAGGAACTGCTGGACAAAACTACTTGTTAAATGCACCTGCTAATCTCTTTACGTGCTTTCACAAAGGTACGTGTAGTTAAAGAAACCTATTGGAAAAGCAGCTGTAAAAGGTGCTGCATGTAAAGATGCATCATACCTACAAATTTAAAAGTTAGGTGAATAATTAACAAATTAAGCAAAGTTTGTGCTGCCCGAAACCTGAATCTCCTTGTCTTAGCAGCTGCACAGAAGTTGGTAAAATACAATCCTTGGTCTAAGTCAAAACGACACTTTCCCCCCCTTATACCTCCAGAGATGTGTGGCTGCATCTGGAATGTGTGGCACTAGAATGGCCGAGGTCTTGGTGCTGGGGGCAGAGGCCAAAGCCTCTCGTGTAGGCCTGAGCTCGGCATTTCAAAAATGCCAGTGTTCTCCAGCTAGCCCTTGTGGTAGCCCCACAGCTGACCTCAGTGTCTCTAAAGGCAAGTTATAAACTGAGCTGCATCAGAAGCTACTCAAGCAGCTGATAAATGCTTGGTGCAGGCAGAGTTTGATGGGTCCTGCATGTATTCAGAGCTGAACATTAGGTGTCTCTGTTCACTAAAAATTGGGACCACGGAGACTTAATGCCCACTCAAGAGCTTGTCTGCCATCACTGCACACACGACAAGTGCAGGCAGGATGCCAAGAGCTGAGCTCCTGGTCCACCGTGGGGGCCTGGACCCTTCCAGGACCAGCCAAGCCAGGAGGAGGCAAGTGAGTCCCCCCGTGGATGGGGCTACCCTGAGGCTGCCATCTTCACTCCCTAGACTGAGGTATTGCTCCTTACCCACATGATAAAAGTGATCATCTGAAAATCAGGACCCGAATTTAGTCTCCTCTGGAGTTGAAGACCAGGACCCGCTTTACTTTTTGTATTACTAGTGCAAAGGTGTCGCTGTGTTGCATGGCAAACAGCGGCCAGCCCTTGCTGGGCACAGAAGACAGCAGCTGATTTCACTAACGCTTTGGTTCGCTGCATAGCTGTACCCAAGCTACACCAGTCTTGCTGAGAGGCCAGGTGACTCACCGTGCCAGTGTGCCCAGAGGGCTTCCAGAACTTGGAAGTTGGTGCCTCTTCTGCTGCAGCTGGTAGACATGCCATACACAAAACGTGCAGGCATGCTGTAACTTATAAATCACTGATGAAAGCTTTATTTTTGTTTAAATTGATGAGGTATTTACTTAAGTGGGAACTGGACCAGACCCCTAGAGCTCTCGCTCTACCAATTATGAGACTCCTGTAAGATAAAAGGGCACTGCTACAATTCACATTCTTTGACTCTCTTAACACTCCTGCATTCATGTTATGATCTAACTGATAACCATACCCATTTTTTTTTAATAAGGCTTTCTTTGAGCAAAACCAAGGGCAGAAAACAAAGTAGATGCACCACAATAAAAACTCTGAAACCATTCTCCCTTTTCATTGGTGAGGGAATGTGTCTGAGAGTTTGCTGTTCTGTGTTTATTCAACGCTAGCAGAACAGTCTTGAATAGAACTTGCCAGCTGGAGGTCACGGCACTTCTGTAAGAGGCCGACAGCCCCCATCATCACCACAAAGCAGTCTTTCTGAAATGATGTCTGAAGCCATTCCAGAATTACTGTAATAAAATTTACCATAGATTTGTAGCCTCAGAAACAATAATTTATTGGAAGTCACAGATAAACTACAAGTATTAACAGATAAAGTACAAATATTAGCAAACACTAAATTACATAGGGTGTAATCTGTATATAACGTGTGCAAGAACCTGGACAACCAGGTCAGAGCACTGGATGAGCTATTTACTAGCACCACGTCTCTGCAAATTAGACAGCGTGGTATTTACTGGTTTAAAACTGGCTGGATGCCGTCATGTTCAATATAACATTAAAATAGTTCTACTGGGCCAAGTTCTGCCTCCATTTATATAAAATTTACTAATGCAATCAAGAGTGGAATCTGTCCCTTAATCTTTTTAAAATTAAAAATTCAGTTTAGAGCCTAAGGCCTAATCTTAATTTGACAGAAGATGCTTGTAGTAGATGTTCTCAGGCTCAAGCCCAATATTGACTACATGATTCCAAGTATCTAACCTGTAGAAAAATGATCAACACACATGCAGGAATTTAAACCAGTACTGCTTTCTTCAGAAATCCATTTTTAAATCCAGTTCTTCCTGCCTTTCATCTCCAAGAACTTTATACATTCCAAAGCAGTGTCTTCAATGGATTTTGATGAGCCAGTAAGATTTGCAGCTAAGTAAGGCATAACACCTGATGTCACTTGATTGAAGTAACACACCTGTTTAAACAAAAATAAATTAAACAGAAAAAGCCTATGGATTGCAATAGTTAGCCATTTTTTTGCAGAGCCTAAATGAATATCAAAGTTTTTATAGATGCGAATAGAAACACGTAGTGCTTCTGAAACTGAAGGCAGTAATTGCAAAAAGAGCACACTTTTTTTACAGTACTTTAATAATGATCTCAGTGTCCTCTCTACTGCTAGGTCCTCAAGCATGTGAATGTACACAGCAGTGCAGAAAGAAACATTATGTGTAACCCATTAAATATATGGGCTCTATGAACAAAGCGGTTCCCTGAAAAAAGAATCCCAGCCACTGAGCGCAGCTGTATGTTTTCAGAAATGTCTGTTCTTAAATGAAAAAGTTATAGCCTATATAGTGGAAAAGAACAAAAGAGGAACATTGTCATTGGTCCAGAGATGGGATTCAGATTGCGTAATTTCTGACAGATGAAAGTTAAAGTTAAGTGTTAATCTGACCTCATTCCTTGGACTTTCGCTGTATTCAGCGAAGAGATATGCACACCTTCAATCCTAAAATGCACTTCTAGAATGAATGACTCTCTGGACATGCCTGGCCATCTCCGGTGCTTAGTTCAGATTTAATTTCTAACATTCCACTTTGTGGAATAAAGAGTGTCTTAATAACCACACTGAACTCTGGGGAAACTGACTCATTTTTGTGTTGTATTGCTGTTACTGTTCTAGGCTGTCAGCTCAAATGAGATTATATGCACACGTACTGCTACTGGAAAGGAGACACAGACAAGGTCTGCAGAGCTACTCACCTTACAGAAGCCGTTGTCATTGTAGATCTGGAATCCAGCACAAAGGACTTCACTTCTGCAGTATTCTGGAGAAGGTGGCATAGACGTGAGGGTAACTGACTTTACAGCTACTATGTAGGGTTCGCTGCATGGCAAGGGAAAGAATCAAACACTGCTTCAATCATAGAATCATAGAACCATAGAATTGTCTAGGTTGGAAAAGATACATGTAAATGACTACAGCTATACCAAAGATGTCATTTTCATATGAAGGCCAACAAGCTCCTGTATGTTTCAAGGTATATGTTAAAGGATTCATCTCTCTTGAGCCTTATTAAGTCTTTGCCACAGACTCCAACCAAGATTATTTTTGTGGAAAGCCAAGAACAATCACCCACATAAAACACCCCCTTTATTTATGCTGCTCTCCAGGTCCCGCATTTACAGAATCAGGGCCTAGGAGCAACCCTTACTGGGAGACTTAGAGTGTGGCCTCAGCAAATATAGGCATGCTTCAGTTCCAAGATGGGGGCAGGGGAAAGCAAGCCCAGTACAGAATACTGCCTTTTAGAAGTAATGTTCTGTTAACATGAAGAATTACTGAATATAAGAAAAGAAATTGAGAATAAAGAATAAGATACACCAAATGGTCCCATTCATCCATGTTTCATTATGCAAGAACAAAAGGAAAGCTAATGGAAAAAAAAATAAATAAATCAATGTATATTAAACTGATCAAGGGACTTTTAAAACCAAATTCAACAACAAAATTTACAGATACAATAAATGTGTCACACAGGTTTCAAGAAAGGTGAACCACTTCCTTGAATAAGAAAATCTCCATTTACATTAAATGGGATTACAAAGTCACTTGAAGCAAACAGACAAACAAAAAAACCTCCTAGTTACGTGCTTCAGCACATTGACAGGCCCTCTGGGACACGCTTTTTCCAAATGGCCCGTTTGCAATTCTGGCCGATTTGCCCTCACTGTAGACCACTCCTGAAGAGTCACTATCAAAGAAGCAATACTGGACTACACCACAAATCTGTTACGCTCTGAATTTACTTCATCACACCTTCACATTGCAAAACAAATCAGGTTGTGCAAAAATCAACACACTATATTTTAAATACGATACTAATCTAATTTCTTAAAAAATAAAACATCATCTTTGTCACCCAGCGACAGGTCCAGATAAAGGTCAACAGTAATCAAAACTATGGCTCCAAAGTGCTCACAGTTCAACTTGGAATTGTATACTCACCTTGGCTTACAGGGTTGCCTCTGAGACACAAGAATCACAAAGTCTCTGGGTTTATGGCCAGTCACGGGTGGAGATGTAACGTAATATATTTTCTCATCTTCATTCACAGCCTGGAGGACCTTACAAGTTCTGCAAATACATTTAATACACACATGCAGACCCTGATGTACGCAATAGCGTTTCTTACAAAAAACACAGTACAAACATATATTCTATCCTAACATTAAGTCTATGGTTTTCATGTTCAGGCAGCAAGGAATCCAGAGGAACACAGAATGAAAATTGAGGTTTTCTGCAACGCACCATCTGACACCACCTCCCTGTTCCACAAAACTGTTAAAAAGTGTTTCAAGGTGGTGGAGCAATGTCTTAAAAGCGTATCTTCTGCATGCTGTTGATTCCTGTTTGCATGCTGTATTACTTGCTGAATGACCAGTGTCCATCTGACACACCACAGGAAAGACAGTCAGGAAACATCCATAAAATTTTATTTGAAGTTGTGTTCTACTCTGTTCAGACAGGGCCACCTCGGTAGGACACACTCATTCACTGTCTTGGAAATACTGATCCACTGTCTCTGACTACAAAAAAAAAGTCAGCATTTTCCTCTACATTGGCAGGAATGAATTGATTTAATTTCAGCTTCTACTGCCTCAGCAATAAGCACTGCTAAGCTGGTATTCTATTTTGACCAGTCAATCAGGCTTCATGGGAGTCATAAGAAACCTGAGATTTTCACTGTAGATATGGAAAAATCAACGTAATACTTCTTCAGATTTCATTTGTTAGAAGCCATAAATTCAGCAGAGATTGTAAATTTCCAAATATCCCTAAGCTTCCACTTTCACCTGAAAGATAAAAATCTTTCAGGATAGAATGCTACCTGAAAAAGCTTCTCCTTTAAGAAAGTATTCACCAAATTGATTAGTATTATATCAATTAAATTGTCTCTAGCCATTAGTCTACACCATATAAGGCAAATAAAAAAAACCCCAAATACTTTTTACGTCAATTCTGAAACACACTCCAAGTCAGATACCCTTTATGTTATTTTTCTTAAAATGTGCATTTTGAAGATCCCCATTTCTTGGTTTGTCACTTTGACTGCATGATGAAGCAGAGCATCAGTGTCCCAAACAACACAAACATGGAGCCCACAGCTTTGTACCACTTTTTACAGAGAGCATGCACAATATATTGACCTCAAGTTATATGCAACCCACTCAAACGAACCTTTTCAGCCTGCATTTGTCCAGGCATGAAATTTTGTTCATTTTAGAAACAAGTATTTATAAATCAGATTTAGGAGAAATTAAATTTTATTTTTAAGATAAAAAACCCCAACCCATACTTTGACTAATGAATCTTTAATGTCAACTTTTTATCACAATTTCTTCTTAATTAGGTAGAAAAGTGTCAACATCTCAAAAAATATTTGTATCATAAAAGGTTAGGTGTCAGGAGATTCAAAAATCTTAAAGAAAATGTAAGTTCTTACAAGAAATGTTTGTCCCATTGCTGGCGGAATGTGAAGTCAGACAAAAGGGAGAAAGCTAGATGTGATTGTATCTTCACTTGCATTTCTACTTTGAATGACAACACATCACCCTCCTCATGAGTCCATATTTTTATCTGAAAAAATTGAATAACATATTAAAACCAAAGAATGATTACTATAAATATTTTAAGACTTATAAATGTTACACATTTAGGTCTTAGGCACATTTTCTCAGGAGTACATATGAAACTATATCTGACAGATGAAAGAGGTAAGTATTCCAAGATTAGTTTTACATTAAAATACAGCACAATGTAAAATCAAATACACTGATAGCATAGTGGCATTACACAGTTTTAATTACATCTGGTTAGGGATAGCTTTATTAGCTTGCAAGTGGAGATGAATGAGCCAAAGGTCAGTATGACCTCTTTCTCACACTATGTATATATAGTCTCTAAATACCTTTCACACTGCACATGTCTTAGAAAAATCAGTATTTTTCTTCTGTCAGGACCAAGTAGATGTCATCACTTTTATAAACAAGAGAAGATACACTTAGGAATGAAGGTAAAAGTGTCTTCTTAACCTTGCTACAGAAAGTCTCCTCATAGAGACCTCACTTCACTGACTCCAAAAGCTAATGGGGCAACCTGAGGACCTCAGCCAATTATTTTGTGAATTTGGCATCAGTCATCAGTGACAGGAGACTAGACTTTTTAAACCTGGACAGGTCAGTACCAGTCCAGAATTCTACCACTTTTTTAACCTGGCTCTTGAGCCAGGTCGAGTTACAGAAGTATGGCATAAATATGGAAGAGCAAGAAAAGGTAACATACTATTTATTAGGAAGGAATGGCAGAAACTTCATTAAGGTAGATTTATATAAAGTGTCTAAAGGTGATGGTTACTTAAAGCTTTCCAGAAATTTGAAACTACAGAGCAGAATCCATTGGATGTGGCACTGGTGAGCAGGAGCAAGCTGGAGTGAGGCCACGCTAGATGATACAAACACCCCTGCAGTACGTCTGAGACTTTATCAAAATAAGATAAACCAAGCTACTTCCCTCTCTGCCGCTAGGACTTTGGAACATATCCAGCAATCCTGCACATTGCAGCTTTGGGGAGCTTATCTAGAGACATCCACAGAGGACCAGATTTTTGAAAAAGCGCTTTTCAAGCTTTAAGAGGGATGACTTTGGATGATACACAGATTACCTCCTTGATCCAGCTCTCCAACCTATGCAGTCCAGTGGTAGTTAGTAGAGGTCAACCACTTCAGGTCCCTTTGTCCATGCAAATCAGTCCCGCATTGGCCTATGCTCCCTTCCACTAAAACAACTCAGTATTTCTCGTTCCAAAGTATCTTTTTTTTTCCTCCCCTATTCTTCACTGTGAAGCAGGGCACCTGGAGTTAACAATATACTGAAAAATTATTTCAAAACATAGTTTTTGCCACTTTGTCCCACACTTGCAGTATCTTGTCTTGATTATTTTGGGTCTATATCTAGTTGTAGGCCTGAACCCTAACACAGAGAATTCAAAAGGAATAACCTGCATGTAACAATGTAACATAATCCTTGCAAAACAAGGTCCTGGTATCTTCCATAAACCCTGTATAATGGAAGAAGATGAGCAGAAGAGACTGCTTAGAATTAGTGGACTTCATTGCCAAATTTTAATCTGATAATGCTAATTTGCTTCTCAAATCCTAGAAAGTTTTAACAGATTTTCATTTCCAAGTGATACAAAATTCATGAAGTTCATCATCTCTGTTGCTCTTTTTTGCTACATCAAAAATTAACAATTTTTGGCTATGGAGCATTTGTGCAACAAACAACACAGATTTTGTATATTTTCATATTTTCATGTTTTGGAATAGGAAAAAAAAAAAAACATCATAAACCAGCAAGCATCTTGCTGAAGTAAAGTTTGGGGTAAAACAAAAGGCCTAAGAGTGTCAGAAACCACCTACAGGATGCATGGATTCCTCTAAGGCATAGAACAGAAATCATGTTGTCTTAGGAGTCTTCTAGGCTTGAAAATCACCAAGTCAAGTAGGAGTACAGCTGTTAAAAGACCTCTCTGCAAAGTGAACACTGGCAAAGCTATATTATTACTGTAGGCCTACAAGTCTCATGGTTCCATGTCAGAATTCACAGTGCCACTTTTCTACCTGCCAAAACCATCAATCAACTTGGGGTCATTCTAATTCCAGGCAAAAGGGAACAAATCCTCTGCATGCAGAAAAGCACACGCTGCTTTGCAAAACCTATCTACTAGAATATTTCATCCCAAAATACAGTTCAGTCTAATGTCTTTGTCAGTCTCCTTTCCCAGAATATGACTGCCTTTAGGCAGAGCACTGCTCCTACTACCCGATTCCTACTATTTGTTCGTCCAGCCTCTCCCCAAGAGACCATTTCATGAACACTGAATAGATCTGTTTGAGTGAAGATGCTGCTATGTGTTTCCATCAGAGAAGGCTAAGTAGTTGTTCTGTGCCTGCACCGCTGTATACCCTAAATACAGGGATCAAGACCTGGTACATGAGTGCAGAGAACAGAAGACTGGCAAGATGTGTGTTTGGTGGGCTGCAGTGTGTAAGGTAAGATGATGTAATGCTATGAGCTAGATACAGTTTCCTAAGGGATACCCCCTTGTACTCATGTTTGCAAAAGTGACAAAAGTAAGCATGAAACAGTGACAAATGAACCAAACCAACATTTGCCAAGATGTTAAGTTTCATTAACTGGAGCTGGCACAAAGCCTTCCTTGGAGCTCTGTCTATATCAGCATTTAGGGACTCGAGGAGACACCTAAATTTGACTGGAGGGGTGGTAAAGGTAAAGTCCAAGATAGGTTTCACTCTTGTTTCCTTAGCCAAAGAGCAAATCTAATCCACCTTGTGGGTTAATTTAGAGGTAAGCATACAGCCACACAGGGGAACAAGTGCACTCGCTGCCTACTGCTGACATCCACATTTTGTCAGCAACCTGTCTTGTGCCTGCAAGTACATGCTAAATAAGAAAGAAGACTTACTTATGGAATAAATGGTATACAACAATCCAAGAAGCCTACAATCATAAGTATGATTTGCTATCACTGTTCACTGCATTAATCCTTCCAGAAAAAAAAAAAAAGTAGTGTGCTACCCTGGACCCCTGCCATGTCTTTAAGGAATATCTAATGATTGACAATGGCAGATTATGCAGAAATGTCCAGAACGATGGGAATGTATGGCTACTCTCCATCCATTCACTGCATCCGTGTGATTTGCATCCTACATCCTGCCTGAGATTTTGCTGGATTTCAGATAGCTGCTTCAATTGGATGAAACAGCAGCTAGAAAAAAACTACTCAAGATTTTCCAGCAGATAAGGCAGATCTTACTATCAACACTATTTTCAGATATCCAAACATGGGAGAAAGTTCCAGACTCCAGTAACACTGGAAGGTACCTGGTGGCTTGTTGAGAACCAAAAGTAACATCATGCTATTTAAAATGTCATCCAGAATGTGCATGGGTTTTGGGGTTTTGTATGAAGTAATTTCTTCACAAGATTTGGTGCTGGTTCTATTACAGGTTTCAAGCATTTAGGGTTAAGAAAGAAACTGAGATTGTGGCAGTCCCAGTAGATGCAGAATGGAAGTTTCACATGAATAATAATACAGTCTTAGCAGAGGCTTGAAAACAATGCTTAATGTTTCAGTCCGATTGTTCAAGCTTGCTTTTTCCAGCATACGTGCTGTCATTTAATTGGCACAACAGTATTTACTGAAAGTTATTAACCACTGGAACAACATACACACAGAACTGGCAGATTTGCTGTCACTGGAATTCCTTAAGATTTATATATGCTCTTACTCAAGTAGTTTATTGACTAGATGCAAGAATCAGTAAGTGAAGGTTCACAGCCTGTGACATGCAGGAGGTCAGACTAAAAGATTCTATCAGTCTTTTCTTGTTCCAAAACACCTCTGAATCTACATGCTCTTAAAATAATCACTAACCATATTTCAGAAACCAAACCTTAACAAACATCTCTCGATAGTTTGGAAGACATGCACTGACCAGGTTAAAACTGAGTCTTCCCAGCTAAATTATCTTGCTTCTGGTTTTCTTAACAGCATCTTCCTATCTTTAAACTGGCTTCCACAAGATTCCTTACCGATATTGAGCTTATAACACTGATAAATGAACAGAGAAGTGCTTTGCTTTCAGGCTTTTGTAATTTTTTAATAGAAAAAGGGCAGAAAGATATCCAAAAGGAAAAATGTGCATAGAAGAAGAGCCAAGTGGTCTTATGAGAAGACAAGATACTGAAAAATACGGTATATGAATTGATGCCACCTGCCGACTGGCAGCGTTCACTTGGAACTATCACAAGTTAATGCCTGCAATTTAGAAACATCTCCCATGCTGCAAAGCCAGTAAAGCCAGTGTATTACAGACTGCCGCACACATTTTGCTTATCACAGCGACACGAGAAGCCGTACAGATTGCCAACAGCACTGCCTAAACAAAGACGTGTAAGTTTGGTGTTTTGCTGGAATCAAGTAATTTGGCAAAACCACAGAAGCACATCAGCTGTGGCAAAGAAAACATCTCACAGAAATGAAATATGGATTTATTTGTGTTTTTACACTCTCCCGTGTGTTGCTCAACAAGCTCAACTGATTAGATGCTGCCCTTCTGGGATCCCAAGTGCTATGTGCACCAGTCATTCAGATCATCCTAGAACTCCTCCATGGCACATCCACAGCACTCTGGACAATCAGAGGTTGCTTTGCAATGTTTCAGGGAAACTCTGGGAGTTTTGGTTTTCAGCCCCAGCCACAGTAAAAACAAACATTGCTAAGCCAATGTATTTATTTACAGATGTACAACATTGCTTTTCTCCACCCACCTGTTAGGGTGGAACATAACTAAAGTGGCTATGTAGCTATTCCACAATTATGCACTTACATCATCCAGTGTACTGGTTATTTCCCATCCTGGTTTTGCTGCTAGGTGTGTCAGTGCAGCTATATTGCTGTAACTCACATATGCCTGAAATGTAAGATACATTTCTGAAAATGAAGCGGTAAAGGTACATTGCACTGAACATTGCAGAAATGAGATGCTCTTTTTCTATCATTACCCCTCAATCGTAAACGTTTATTTTCCCATAAGTGTTTTCCTTCCAGAAAACACAGCCCAGCAGTTTCCCAATTAAATACTTTCAATAGCTAGATTATGTGCTCACATGGCTGTTGGCAAAACAACACTAATTAAACAACAACAGAATGCTACTTTGGGCTTCTCCAATTATAAAGCAGTGCAGAAAAACCATGACCACCAGAGAGGTAATACAGGTAACCTCCCAGACCACTAAATTAATGGTTTTGTCCATCTTCCTCCTAAGTAATTAAAATCTACTAGAAAATTAACCTCTTCATTGCTATCAAGCAGTGGTCTATCTTGGCAATTGCTTTAAACAGCAGGCTCAGAGCAGAGAAAATGTAAATACATCCATTATTTATGCTTGACTACAGTGGATGGAATTCTCATTTAACCACTGTATAAAAAGAATACAGCCTTAGAGACTTTAATGATAGGTTTTAATTTAATATTAAATAAATCTTAAGTAAGCAATTTTTATCATTGTGTGCCTATTTATATTTATTGTTTTAAAGAAAAGAAGTGCTGCTTCAAACAGTGGAGATGCCACTGTTAACAGCAAATCACTTCCTGCATTACAGTTCTCAATTATTACTTTTTCCTGTAATGGAAAAGACCCGGTAAAATTTCTGGGAGCCACTGAGATCTTAAATGCAATGAAAATTTAACCACAAAATTTTGACACCGAAACAACGTTTAGGATGTCTATAAATCCACCTAAACTCAGGTTCATCACTATTCATTTCATGACACAGGCACAGTCTACAGCCTAGCACATCCAGGCCAGAAACACATACCACTTGTTTTAGAGTATCTACAAATGAACATAAGTTTTCACATCTCTTTCCCATAGAAACAAAGTTTACACTATTTCACTGTTCATCTGTCTGTTGGTATTGCCATATCTCTCCCCCCGCTTTTAGCATTTACTAAATAGTATCCTCACAGCAGTTTTTGAGACAGTCAGTGGCTGGATAAAGGAAAAAAAATACCCAAACTAATTCCTCTGCAGATTTCAGCTCTTTAAAAGCTGGGGACACTGGGATGTAAATCTACAGGAGACCTTACAGCTTGGATGCTTAAGGGGCCACTTGTTAAAATAGTCTATCTTAAAGACATTTTTTATGTTTTGTATGAAACTTACACTTAAATCAATCATCTACTCTCTTTTTTCAGAAGAAAAAAAAAGTTCATCCTATTACACATTTATTCATTCTTCCATGACTACCATAATGCTTAAGTACAGAAGGTCCTCTTTGGAAACTGATATGACCTGTACAACTGTTTTACACACCCAGAAAGTGTACAAATACACCATTTTATGCAAGTAGACAATAAGACACAATCTACAGATTACCTGGTTGCTTGTCTCCCAGGAATCAGAAGGTTTGTCTTCCTTAGCAGACAGCATGCATTTTCTAAAACAAAATTCAAAAGAAAAATAGCATGAATTGGTTCTTTACACTTTCTTCTATATATGCTGAAATAATCACTTCTGTAGGCTTACGTGTCTTCTAAATACTTTACAGGTATTTTATCAATTTTGGGTAGTAAGACAAGTTTGCAATAACTCCTTTTTCTTCCCAGGAAAGACAGGGAAACAAAAGAACCTATAGAACAAAGAATTTTTGAGACAAGTAGCCTCTAATAATTTCAATGCAACTCAGGCAAAATTATTTGGAAAGTTAAGCAACATAACAGTTATGTTTGAGATTTCAACCACTTAACAAATGATCACTTTTTCAGAGGATACATTAAAAAATTAAGTTTTCAAAGTCAAGTTCTCATTGTAACCCAACTATACCTGGCCAGTCGAATTCTCCTTCGGGCAATAGCTCCATGGTATCGCCTCATACCATCCTTTATAAAAGGTAAACAGGACAGTAACACATCTGATTATTTTAGGACACCCTCTAAAAAAAAGACAACTAAAACCTACTTCTTACAGATGGACAAACACCAGAGATGTACTACAAATAAAAAATTGCAGCCTGCACATTGGATTTTCCCCAGATTAACCCGAGTCAGTGATTCACTTTTGATTTGACAATGTTCCCTTAACTTTGCAAAAACAATCCAATAAAACATCCCTTGCCTGTTTTGTAGAGTACTGCCATACCAACTGTCACTTTCAGCCAAATGACCACTTAAAGTTTAAACTACCTTGGGCACATACTAATTTTCCCAGATTTGATTGCATGTCCTGAAGGAATGGGCGTACATGTTCTTATCTTGATGCTTAGCTTGTGGATGCCCCTCTAGGCAGGTTTGTAAGGGAAGCACTGTTTTTCCTGACAGAAGGTAAGCTGCTATGGCTTTTTTTACTTGTTTCTTTGTTTTTAAGAGGAAGGGTCGTTTTTCCTCTTGGAACAGTCTGTAATGGGCAGTAGTGAACCTTACTGCCTCACCTAGTATATAGGACACCTTGATTTATTCTTCCAGTTGCCATCCTATAAAATGTTAAGTTCACTGATGTTAATGTCTATCTGTGCTGGCTCTATAAAAATCTCTAATTGGAGCAGTAAAGTTAAGGACAGGTGATATCACAGCAAATAATTCAACAATAGTATTCAAACTGCTCTGAATGCTTCATGCATCACTTTCAGGGAAACATATGCCGAGATCTCCATGTCAAAGGAACCAGAAAGCCCACCCATGTGATGGGATTTGATTCCTACACACTCCTTTATTAACTCTATTTCTCATCTTCATTAAGGGTTTAGAAAAAATAACTTTATTCACTAAACAGTTAGGAGTTTTAGTTAGGTTTTTGCTGTCTGGGCAGCTTCTACAGTCAGTGGAGATTGCACAAGACAGATACAGACAGGTGCCAAAAATGTGCATAAAGAACATTCTTCTTCCCTGTCCATCAACTAACTACATAATTTGTAATGATGACTAGCCCCACTACACCTCTTAGTTTTGGATGACTGAAGTTGACAACGACAAATCTCTTACTCAAAGGCAAACATTTCATTTAGAGGTTTTCTCTTCTGCATGGCCCTGTTTAGTCCTTGCTTTCCCACCAAGGTTATATGGCTGTGTGACATGCAGTGTGCCGGGTTGGACCACATAATCTCATATATGCATTCATCCTACTCCTGAGGATGAGAGCTGACCTTTGTAGTAGGTTTGATTCTGGGGAAGGTGAGCAGCTCTCCTTTGTCATTTACAGTGTTAAAAATGAGAAACGCGCTGTTAATATGCCGTGCTTGGTCCTTGATCCATTCTTCACAGTTATAAGCCTCAACACGAACACCAACCTCCACACTGAAATAAAAGTTTAAATTAGTTACTGAACTACCACAAGTGCTGCAGAGGCAGCTCTGAGACACACTAAAAAGGGCTGCTGTACACTATTCTGTGCACAGGAAGCCTGACTCAAATACCTTCTGTAGCACACAAAATAAATTACTCAGTCTGGACAGACACATTTCAGAAACAAAAGGTGGCACTAGATAAATAGCATTAATAAGAAGAGCAAAAATTGAGATAAGCAGCAATATATGAACTCCAGTAAGCATACTATGAGAAAAGACAGCAAAAGTGAACAGGATGATATTCATTTGACATTCAGCAGAAGCATCGTACGAAGGTAATTCATGCTCTGCTAGCATTCTGCAGGGACCGAATACACCTACGAAGAAAACAGCCACAGAAAAGCAATGCCAGGATAACATTTGTCTTGTGTACAGAATTTGGAGGAGGAATTACTTTAGCTTCTGCCTTCTTATGGCTTGTCTTACTACACCTCTTGAAACTTCTGAACACACCCTCCCGCTCTAGGTAGGGGCCACACTGATGGAACAGGGCTCCACATAAGTTGTGTTACAACCCCTGGCATAGCCAGAGGGTCTGCTGGCCCAAAGTGCCATCCCTGTAGATGGGGAAACAGCCTAGCAGAGAGGTGCTATCCCTTTGCAAAAGGTCAGGAGAGTCAATTCTCTGGAGGCAAGCACAACAGTAGCGCTAAAAATGCAGAGGAGATAGTGCATGCATAGGAAAGAGGAAGCGAGAGTAACCATTAGCAGGCAGGATCTGTGCATGACTGGTCAACAGCCACACTGCTGAATTCCAGGAGCAGGTGTTCAGTGTGCCAAAATCTGTTTCATGTATGCAGTGACTATATACGCAACTAAAGATAAAATTTCAGCATGGGCTGTAGCCATTTACTCCAAACTGCAGCTGACAAAGCCTCACCCCTGCGTACACCCAAACAAACACTGGGAAGAAATAAACAAAACAAAGCATCAATTTTTCCAGTAACCAGCAATAAACAGAACCCAGATCTGTCAAGAGATACCAAGACAGGAAGATTCTAGCAGCAAGCTGAAGCATTCTGAAGAACCAAAGCTGTGGGACCAACTCATCCTTGAAAATCCCTGAATTTCAGAGTGATATTTATGTTGTGAGTTTGCAGGATTGGGATTTGGTTACAAATGATCTTTAAACTGAAAGTCAGAGAATAAATTTTTTAAAACTTTCACTGAGAAAAGTTAAAAGCAGCACATATAGATGGATAGATATATCCCTCAAAGCTCCAGCTGAAAAAGAATTCATTCAATACCACAAGTCCTACTGACAGCTGAAACCTGAAACACTCAGTTAGACTGGTGCTGGAGAGGTCAAGGTAGATAAGCAGATACGGAGCTTTACCTGTTCTGAAATGTATTGTTCACAATTGCATTGAAGGCAAGGCGGTCACCCACGACAGATGGTCCCCAGAATTTAAACATATTAACGGATTTCAAGATGGGATATGAACGACAAAGGCGGCTGAAAAAGAAAGCAAGAGAGACAGAGAGCAAACCATACAGTCACGTTAAAGAACCTCCTTTGTTAGGTTTGAAGTGGGTAGTGATTAGAGCAACAAGGTTTGCACAACCTAGAAGATCACTACATTACACTAATTTATTCCATAACCCACTGAAATACAGCTAACATGTTCAGCTCCAAGAGCACGTAATTCAAGCTTCAAACATAATAATACCACTTATGTCATGCTGCTTCGTTTTCAACACACTTTACAAACACCGACTAATTAATTCTCACGGCTTGATATTACTTCTTTTGGAGCCGGACCATGAATCCCTTACCTGCAGAGTAACCACTTACTTCACAGAATAATTTCTATATGACTGCATAAGGAGTAGGATATTGTTCAGTACGTAAAAATGCCAGATCATAAAGCCTTTAAACAAAAGAAACCTGAGCAGAAAGACTGAGCACCAGAAACAGCGTTCAAGCAAAGCAATGTCAATCTATCTGTTCTTTTTAATATCAATACTTTTTTGCTTGTTTGTCAGATGTTTTTGGCTGGCATTATATGAAATAAGAACAAAAACCTACTCATATAACTGTCAAATGTATAGCTATTTTTTTTGTTGGGTTTTTTGTGTTGTTTTTTTTTTTTTTTAATTTACTGGTTTACTAAATTACGTGCAGTTTGCTATTGATGCTGAGCTGGGAAACGCATCTTTGCACATACAAAGAGGTAGAAAGATGTTGAACTGATCAATTACCAGTTCAGAAACAGAAATTTTGGCTAAATTGCAAAAGCTGAGGGCACGGTAGTGTATTACAAACACATAAGTCATAGTAATTCAGTTCCTTTTACCCTTCCAATTGCATAGTGCATCCACTCACTTGTCTTTTCTTATTTCAGACCTGATCCTGCACTGTGTTCAATCGCATGTAGTCAGGTTCAGCTGGATTGTCCTACTGGATCTCTTTGAACTGCTTGTGCAATAGGCTGTAGCCACTCTAGTAAAACTTAGCTGGTCTAGTACAGAAGATTGTCTTTGCCAGGCGAGTACCCTCTCTGTGAGCGTACCAGCAAAGCTGCCCTCTGGACAAGTGCAGTGGACAAACAGATACACACCTGATCAAACCCAGCTACACTGCTACTGGAAGAGGTTTGCAATACTGTGTCATCTACACTAGGGAATTCCAACAACCCACCACTTTTCTGACCTTCACAGACATTCCAGAAAAAAATCTGCAGTACAGATACAGCTTAAGGTTTTGTGGTGTTGAGGTCTAGTGTGCAAGGTCTCTGGAGTGAGCAAAAATTAGATTTCTTCTGCAGTTCTAAATGTAGTCAAAGCCTCACTCTTGTCTGGGATTTCTGTGCATCACATGAATAGGGAACAATACGCAATAATGACATTTATTTTTAGATTTTGAAAAAACATGCTCTATCCTCACGCATGTGTGCAAAACTCAATAAGAATCCGCTATGCACATCTGAGAATAGATGTTTCATTGTGTGGTTTTTAAATTTGAAAATACAACTTTGTAGTGTTCCTAGCTTCTAACTCAACTGCACTCTGCAAACTAATGTACCACTATTGTTAAATGTACACAATTATCTGTAGCTAATTAATTGACTGGTACATCTTTTCAATAGACTAATACAGTCAAACAACCTTGTAATTTCATTAAGAATAATTTGCTTTTCTAATTTAAAATGCTAAAAGGTGATCTTATTTCCAATGTTCACTGTAAAGATGCAAACATAGTATTACTGAAAGCAAGGGAGGGATGAACCACAAATTTGGCCTAAATATTCCATATTTTCTGGAAAACTATGCTCTGAATGCTTTTCCTGCAAGTGTAAGGGAAAAAAAAGGACAGATCTGGTTCAAACAAATATTACTAATATTCAAATGGCTTTATTGCTATCTGCAAGATTTCCACTTACTGTCCAGCCAAAAATGTGGAGGGAGGGAGAGAAGGAGCGTGAGTAACCTTTAAAATGCCCTTAGAAATTTATTTTTCATGGGTGAGCCCTCCTCTTCCGTTCCTCCATCAGAGTTTGTGCGCATAGCAACTCTTAGCTGGCACCTTCAAAGGCCAGGCCTAATTGTGAGTGGCCTCACAAAAGGTCTGTAGTGATACTAGCTATTTCTCAAGCATAAACTACAAAATCTCTGTTTTCAACAAGCCTCTGTCACCAGCTATTATTCCTGAAATTTTCAACATGACAAATCATGTCTGACATTCATTATTTCAAAGAAAATCTTTTCATCACATGGTTTCCTGATTTTTTGCTTCTCTTTTTAAACCTAAATGTGACACTCGCTAGGTAAAATTTATCAAATGAAAACAGGTAAATATTTTGGGTCATATTATGGCAAAAACCTGAAACAGTCCCTTTGAAGTCAATGAAATTACACACTGGGGTAAGGTCAGTGCATTTTAAAGTTACTAAAGCAAGTTGTTTACCCAACCACTACAGAAAATCTGTTGTTATCAGTCCAACTACTGGCTACAAATCAAAACTACATGAATAATAAATGGGGAAGTCATTTAATTATTAAAGTTAAAAAGCAAAAACATATCTAACATCCCTGCAGTGAATTAGGTCACTTGGTATGCGAGGAGAATTCAAACTGAAACTCAAGTGTTGCTTACAAAAGAAGCTTTGTATGAAGTCCAAGAAAAAGGAGGGAGAAAAACAACGGTTTGATTTCAGGGGAAGAGAAATTAAATGATTTTATGTCTAGGCCATACTGACTAGCAATAGTAGGCAGTGACACAAAAATACCTCACATGTGTTACCTGAAGATGTCAGAGCCCTTTAAACTGCTAAAAATATTACAACCCTTAGGATATGGGACTCAGAGAGACTGAAAGGTTAAGAGACTTGTTGAAGGTTATGCATCCATTCTGTGTGCACACCAACAAAACAGAACCTATTTCTTTTGATTCTTCCTCTCTGACTTATTCTTTCTTCTGGCATAACGATCTACAGGCTAATATTTAGAAGGCTGTTCATTTTTGGGTATCATTTGATACAGGGTCAGTATCAGTTTTATCCTGACTTAACAACTAACTCTGCTTTTAAAACACTGTACCAACCACATGGAGGCCAAGCTTCTATTCCTACTTCCAATGCTGACTTTCTGCAGAGATTCTCAGGAGGATAACATAGCCTCTTTTGCCTTAGGGTCTGTATGTGTAACAAAAGAAGAATAATATTTGACTCCCACAGTGGTGTGGCATGCTGTGGGAACTGTACCACATAAATAGTTCAAAGGCCTCCTGCGATCTGAGGAGTAAGAAAAGTCACTAAGATTTGGGTCTGCATTTTTCACAAAAATAAATCTCTGTGAAACCTTAATACTAAAATCACATCCATTTAGAATCCTATGCAAAGGCCATATGTAGAAAAGTACCTTGCTGAAATACTTGCCACTGTCTCCATCCAAGCCATGATCTGGCCACCAAATGTGTTTCCATGATGGTTTGCATGAGGAGGCTGGACAAGCTCAATACTCTGTACATGAGTAAGATCAGTTGAAACTGCACCTTCCTCTTCAAATGAATCTAAAACACAGCAGCAATGTATTGATGAAGTATTTCAGCTAGTAACTTTGTTAGCCAAGAAGAAAATACCACCAGTTACTGAAATGTGCAATTTGCTTCAGACACAACGGAAAGAAGAAAAAAAGAAAGACACAGAAGACCTCTGTTCTTTGCAAGGGAAGCAAGAGGCTGAATATTTGCTCTGTTCTTCCAAGAGATGTAAGAGGTGAGGGATGGGGCACCCTGCAGTCTATCAGAGCACAGTGATCTTTCCCAGCCCTCACTATATCCTTCAAAGAAGCTGTGTCAGAAGCAGTTACTGTGAAAGCTGGCAAGCAGTGAATGCAGGCAGCCAACTGCCTCAGCATGTGCTTGTTATTATTCATGGTTGCTATGCATCATCTCTAACAGATGTTGTCAGAGCAGTTTATCACTTACTCCAATGCTGTTCATAGACTTTGACCACCATGTATGATGACACATGTGCAAATGTGTCTAATTAAGGTAACAATATAACATGACTATTTCATAACCTATTACAAATCTTGGGATTACCAGAGACAATATACCAACACACGAAAGAGAGAAATATGGATGGGAAGCAGTAACTACCTTCATCTGAGCATTTCCAATTTCACTTCCAAATCTTTAGCCATACATCCTCACACTAAGCTTTGTTTTTTCACTTATATTTTGCAAGAACAGATTTAGGCATGAGATGACATAAGTAATTTTAAAAGTGCGTATCTATGCTAGGTGCTACTTAACCCTAATTGTACTTTTGACTATTGCCATAATTAACTAACTTTATGATTATATAAATGTGCGGACACATTTGACTAACTTGCACTTTGGACCTACTTAAGTTGTTGCGTAAGATCCACTCAGAAGACAAACTTCACTTTCTGAATATGATTTATGCCTATTTTGCTACCTGGCGGCCTTTACACCCAATATTTTCTTCTCTTTTTCCCCTACTTTGCTTGTTCTGCCTCCTTAAGGAGGTGAATTAGCACTAACAATGCTAAGATCTTCCAAGGAAGTTATCAGGCAAGGCAGTGGAAACCAAAATCATCAACCTCTGATTTGTCTTTCATGGTATTAAGCTGTCTCCTATGAGACAGTTACCATGAAGATAAATAACTTGTTTGCTTGTAGCAAACAAGTCTCTTCAGTTCTACACAGTCCTATTAGATTGTTAAGACTAGAATTTTTATTTACACAGCAAATTTTGAGCACAATTGTCTTTAAGAACAGAGGTGACTATTAGAACCAGAGACAAACCTGTTTCTTGGCTCAATTTTTCTAATTTGGTCATGAGGAGTAAAATTTTTTTTTAGTTGTTTTGACCTCCACGGAATGAATTTTCTCCTGTTTGTTGGGATCTCATGGCATAAATATAGTTCTTAGTGCTTTCTTGCAAAGACACAGCCGGAAGCCTGTGTGCATTTTATCCTTCTGTCTGCATTACAACTAGTGTCATAGGACTTTATTATCATATTGCAAAGTTCTTTGTGAACTGTTAAACCTTACACATATAACCTACAAGAAGATCTGCATGTCAGATCTACTTCTTAATGCACACTTGGCCTTCAATCCTGCATTTTTAAATCTGGAATTTGTAAGAGACAAAGAAATGACCAAAGAAATTGACCCTGCTCTGGCAGGGGGGTTGAACTAGATGATCTCCAGAGGTCCGTTCCAACCCTGACCATTCTGTGATTCTGTGAAATACCACTCTATTAGAATAACTGTCTTACAAACCCTCACACTGGCACACGCTTTTCTACGTGACACCACAACCTCAAAGAGCTCTACTCAGATGTTCTGTCTGCTTTTTTCCTCCCTTCCAGCTGCCCATAAGTCATTTGTTCCATCTTCTATGCTGACCACAGTAATCACCTTCCTTATTACTCTCCTGCATTAGGTTCTGAAAGACCTGTTCATAGCCCAGTCGGATCCTTCTTCTCTCAATAGCCAGGGTGTGCTCCAGGTGGTCTTCTGCAGAAAGAAGTTTTACAGGTTCCAATTCAATCTATGCAAATGAAAAAAAAAAACCATAACAAAGTGCACTTTGAACTTAAAATGGCATCAGCATTTTCTACAACCTTTTGCTATCAACTGTCCAAGATGGGACAAAGAGAAAAAGAGAGGGAGGAAAAGAGGGGGAGGAAAAGAGGGGGAGGAAAAGAGGGGGAGGAAAAGAGGGGGAGGAAAAGAGGGGGAGGAAAAGAGGGGGAGGAAAAGAGGGGGAGGAAAAGAGGGGGAGGAAAAGAGGGGGAGGAAAAGAGGGGGAGGAAAAGAGGGGGAGGAAAATGAAAAAGAAAAAAATAAAAAGGAAAAAAGAAAAGAAAAAAGATCTTAATATGAAGGTTTGAGTATTAATACTTTTGTATCGGAAGAATAACCCAGTCACACTGATCAGTGGTGCAGTCTATGGGAAAATGTACCCCAGCACCTACTTCCACTCACAACACAAATAGCCCACTCCCTCTTTCACAATTCACTCCATACTCATGTAGTCTGTTCCACCTATCTGAGGAACTGTTTTCAAAGAAGCATTGGTTTTCTGAGGTGGAGAAGAAATACATGAACATGCAGGACTTGGTGCAGCTTCAGACCCTACACATTTATGCCCAAAATGCTACTTCCACCCAGACACACATCCTTCTCTTACCAAGATCAGACTGTCTTCTCCCTTAAGTGCAAATTCCCATGTATGTCAGGTCAAAGACAAACTGAATCCAAACCTCTACAGGCTTAAGAAAATTATTACATTTAGATGAATGCTGCAGAGGTGCCACTGAACAGTCATTTGTGTGATTTGTCTACAAGGTCTAGCCTCAGAAACCTTAAAATAAGGCACAAGCACTGCAACGCAGACAAATTCAACATTTCATGCCCTGTAGTGGTGCTGCTAATGTTTCTCAGTATTTGAGTCTTCACTCCAACTCTCTTGCAGCTTCCTTGCCTCCTTTCTGGCCCTTCTCAAGAGCTTCCTGGCTTTTTCCAGATGCTCAGTTAAAAGATTAAGATGATGAGTGCATACCGTTGCTCTCTGCACAAGTTTAGCAACAGTTGTTCAGAAAAATGGATTTGAAAAAAATGTTCTTTAATTTTGTCTTAAAAATAATCTTAGTTAATCATCACCCAATTTAATCCTGAATTAACCTCCCTGGAAATTTGGGCAAAAGGTAAATGGGTTGATGCCATGGATATTATATCAAACCAATAATAAACAATCCTTACTTTATACTATTTTAGTGCTTTCAGGTTAACCGATTTAGTCATTAACCTTTCAGACACAAGCTGGGCTTTAGCTTTGGTAAAACTGTTCCAATCTGTTTCTTCTGCAAATTGCAATATATGATTGCAGAAGAGAAAGCATAAATGACTGGATATATTAATTGCTCGTGGGATCATTGCTCTCTGACAATCTGCAGTGGATGTTAAAAAGGCAGATGCACTGTCATAACACATTCAACGAGACAGGAAAGTCAGATATATGACTCCAGTCACTCACGTTCAAGAAAGTAGAATACTACATACAAAGGGAGTTCATTAAGAGGATCTGAGGAATATTTGGTCTTATATGAAAACTTTAAAAGCACCCTGCCTGTTTGGCACAGCAATGTGAAGACCAAATAGCACCGTGAGTGATTTCTAAATACCTCCGGGGAGCCAAACACTGGGGAGAAGATACAACATTGGCATGAAAACTAATTAACATAAACGGCAAAGAATTAATTTAGATTGGAGGCTAGCTTAGATACAATGTCTTCTATCTTAATGGTGATGTCTGAACAACCACCTCAAAAGAAGGAGTGAAGGATAAAGAAACCCTGTCCCCAAAACCCTTGCAAGGTTGCAACATGTATGTAGGTCAGTTTCTGAAAAGGAGAAAAACCGTGCAGAGTCACAGGGATCTCTCTTCCAGTGCTTGCCTCTGTCAATATTGCAGCCCTTACAAAGACACCAGTTCTATTATGAGCAAATGCACAAGAGAAAGTGGAAACAATAAAAAAAGCCCAACAGCTTCAGAGCAGAGATGTGGAAAAATCTCCATATAGTGTGGACTTCATGACATTTTCCCATTACTGATTGGAATGAACAGGTATGAACATTTTCCTGTGTTCACAACCACAAAAGTTGGGTTCTTTCACAGAAACTCAGTCCAAGTAACTTCAAACATAGAAGAAAACAGAAATAATACCTTTCCAGCACCAACTGGTTTGGCTACATATGTTGCATATGCCACACTCACAATTTTTTCAACATTAGTCAAAACATCCTGTACTGTAACCTTGATGCCAACCTACAAGGAAGGAGATAAAAAAGGTATTTACATCATCGTCAGTTGAAATGAGACAAAATTAATCACGTTCAATCTCTTAAACCTAGAAGAAAAAAGGTAAAAAAACCTGCTCTGCTATCACTGATCATCTCTGAACACATAAGAACATCACAATATTCTCTGAGCTCTGAAAAGCTCTTAAGTACAACTGTGTATGTATGTTTAGCATCACTTGTAGGGTAAAATAAAAAATAGTAAAGACACTTAGATTTAGTTTTATGGATATCTCTTTCCATTTACTTGTGTGCTATTTGGAGTTCCCATTTGAATCTTTCTAAGATCTGTATGAACAAAAAAGCCTGTATAAATGTATAAAACACAATGAAACACTTAAAGGTGAAACACTTTATTTGATCCTGTGAGACACACCTGACATGCATCAAAGATTCTGATTTTTTTATATTTTTAGAACCTTTTGGAATACATTCTCTGTGAGATGCATCCCTTCCATTAATATTAACGAAAACTGGACTTGGGCACAACGTAGAGAAAAGTACCCTTAAGGTTCAATTCTGATTTCAAGCAAGTGATTGGGCAATGCACTGCATACTTGTTATAACATAAAGGGTAAGAACGCCTGAGATAAATACTTCTGTATCAGAAGCTTCAAAAATATTTAGAACTCCACCTATTCAGTCGATCTTAGCTCTGATCCAAAGAGGTCAAATAGCTTTGGACTGGACCAGCACCACCTATCCCATTCTGTCCATTACACCTGCCAAAGATTTTAAGTCTTCAGGGTCCATTTTTACAGGAAACATGTAATTACAATAGTCATTATGAAACCACAGTTTCATTAGGCGGTGGTATTGTTTACATATCTGCACAAAGTTCCTTCTGAAACAAATAGACCCACGATGCATTCCTCTACTCCTCCCACCTCTCTTCTCTGTTCTTCAAACATCTCTAGAAATACGAGCGATGATGTCTTACCTCCATGCTGGTTTTGAACGCTCTGTTCACCTTTGCTTTGATGGTAATAATTTGTCCAACCCTATTAAAAAGAATAACACCTTACAGTATATAATCATGCAGCTTAATAAGGATGTGAAACTGCCTCTCTAGGTATTCCTAATAGTAGTGGAGAAAAACTCATTAATCAGTCTGTGTCTTCCATATGTACTGAAAATGCACTGAAACAGGTTTAGCACCGTTATTCATCAGACAAAATTCATTCATGCTCAATAACGATTTTAGTTGCTCAGAAAACTGCATAAGCTTAGTACTAGCATTCCTTCTCACTGCTGATGTCTGTATGATGTCAGGTGTGCTCCAGGCCCCAGGTCCCTCAAGAAATTTTGGCCGAGATTCTGCTTTTTTTCAAAGGCACATCTTTCTGTGAGTTACACTAAATCACTGGGTGTATCTAGCTGCAAAAACACACAAGTTATACTCCATGTGCACTCTCTAGCATACAGACACATGCACATGAGGAAATAATCCCAGGACAAAAAGTGCTCTTTTGACATCCTTGAAGGATAGACACTGCTGCAGCATGTCCCTTCTGTTCTAGCAGCATACCTCTGACCAACTACTCTTCCCCATTTACCTACACAGAATACCTAAACAGAATCGTATCTTCATAGAATCAAATTTAAACGAGAAAGTAATTTCTTTCCTTCTGGAATTTCTAAAGTACCTGTTACATGTCAATAACAAGAGTAACCCTTGTTTTCAAACCCCTAATATCCTAACTCAAGGCAATGCTGAAAGGGTGGACAGAAGGGAGCTTCCCCTGAAGTTCTCTTATTGAGCAGAGCAGTAAAAGGACATGATGCACATGGTAAGCCAGAGACACAGCCAAAATAACTGTGCATCAGGCCACTGCTTTCAGGGAATTTAGACTGACTTAAAACTGCTAAAGATCAGTCCCAGAGTAGGCAAAGTGCTGCTAGCTACATCCAGGACTGCAAAATGTAACTCAGACCACTTCAGTACCTATGAAACAGACATTTACAGCTAAGGATTCAGCACAGTTATGACCTCAGTTTATGGAAAAAAAAAAAAACAAAAAAAAAACCTTATAATTTTTTCTTAATTTAAGGAACAGGGTTTTGACATTTAAAGGTAAGGCTCTTAATTTGCTTTTCTCAATGCCAAAACTTCCAAAGAATTGTTACTAAACACTAGAATGGGGAGTAGGAATCCTGCTCCTTTACAGTACCAGACAGGAACAACTAACCGCACAGAAAGTTTCTCTTTCTTTCTCTCATCCAAGAACACAAGTGGTAGCCTTCGAGTAGGCAGGGGGAGAAAAGGAAAAATGGCTAACGGAAAGAATTAAGGCCATCTGCAGATATGCAGCCCTCGTTACCTTTTGAAGAACACATTCAGAAAGAGTTTTTCCCACCATTCATTGCAGAGAAAAAGCACGATCACTAACATAATAGTTCTAAACTGCACAGCTCGTTCACAAAAAGGAGAGTGTGTTCAGAACAACAACAACATTTATGTTCAAGCTTGAAAAAGAAGTTAATGTTACAGTCCTGTAAAAAGGCTTTAGAAAGCTCATAGACAGAACTCATTCAAGTATCCTGAAACACCTCTGAAGACTCTGTCTCTGTCACAAAACTCCCAAGATGATTACAGTAACACAACAGTGAAGGTAATGACATGGTGAAAAAAGACAGGATATATTCATTAGGTATGTTCAATCAGAGTTTGACACATACTGATACTGAGTATGAGGCTTTCCTTAAAAGATGGAGAGTTCAGAGTCTCCACACATGCTTGCAGAGGATGTCCTGGTCCCTGCTGAGAACATTATGATGCCAGATTGTCCATGAGGTCCCAGTGGGGACTGCAGAGGTCTTTACCTCAGGCTTACTGGCAGGGCACTGTTTTCCTGTAGAAAGATTGTTTATTTCACCTTTGTCAGTGACACCTCCCTGGTGACCTCTCTTCCTTTGTGCAAGAACATTGCCTAAGAGAGGCTGAGTTAAGTCTGGGTCTGTCCGCCTTTGAGGAAACTGCAAGATGGGAACAACAGAATAAAGCTGGACATGATCTCACTCAGCCTGAGGCAGCAGTCCCACAATAAGGTGGGTTTGGACTTCACAGACATTAGATTCCCTGTCTGACTGACATCGCCCTTGGTGCTCCAAGCAGTCCATGCAGCTGGACTCACATTTCATTGTAGAAAAGCGTAGTCCTCTGGGGTCCACAATCATATCAGAAAACAAAGATGTCAGAACTGAGATGGCCACACACTGTGATAGGGAAATGTATTTTCATATACTTTCGGGAGCTGTTTCAAAATGAAGTGTTTGCCACTGTATCATGTATTCTGGCTTTGGACAAACTGATTTATTTAAGCCAAAAGAGCTGATCAGCTTGGGCATTTAATTAGGTATGTAAGGGCAGGAGTCACAGAACACCACACTTTCACTTGTAACTGGTAGAAAGCTTTTGGAATACATCAGAATGAACTGAATATGATTCACATATGGAGTCCTAACACAATTTAAATAAATGTAATTTAAAATCAGATGTTCTTACTACCACTGAAATGCTGTATATTAAAAGACAATGAAGAGGGATTTATTTGTTATCATGGCACAAAACTGAGTTTTGCAATATACAGATTTCTGGAAATCTCTGTTTCAATATCAGCTGAAAAGAAATGTGCACAGAAGATTTAATCCTTACAGAACATTTGGCAACCTGAGTTAGGCAAATGAAACCTTACAGCAGGTAACTTACAAAACATTTTTTTAATTTACTAGAGTGAGATATAAGAGCACTCTTATTTATGCAAGATGTTTGTATAATCAACCAGATCTGGCAAAAATTAGGAAATTACACAGTAAGCTACAAACAGGATGTTAGGGATGACCTGAGGCTGAAAAATAATTACTGAAACCACTTCACAGTTGCTACACTTGTACCCTAAATTCCTGTTAAAAAATGAAATATTGGCATCACAAGTGGAAGGACAACTAGAAACAGAAACAAATTTGGAAGGAAAAGTATTTTCAGTATATTTTAGAAGCTCTGTTCTGCTCTCAGAAACAAGAGAGAAAATTCCTCTTAAGCTACTGAAGCCTGAAATATTATGCCTGAAAGAAAAATGTTACCCTGACTTTATTTGGAGGACTCTGATTAGTTTTCACAGACAGGATTTTTTCCTAAGGACAAAATTAAAAACACAGAACAATTACAGGCAGGACAAACACTTTAGAACTAATTTGGTAAAACAGACCAAGAAATTCTCTTGAGTTCTAGATCCAGTCTGACCATATTCACTTTTCTTGTTACTGGTCTAGTTTTCATCCTCATAGCCGCTACTCTAAAAATCTGCTGTTCAGAAGTGTGCGTAGATGCTTATTTCACACTTGTGTAATGCAAGCAATTTTAAATTGACATCGGCTTTATATCTGATAGCCAATGTTGCTTGGTTCACAGTCAGGACAAATGCATGTGCATTGGTCTATGTAACCAGGTCCATCTCATCTAAGCACTCATTAATTTCCAGATTGCAAAGTGTAAAAACACACAAAACCAGAGTAATGGCTTTAATTTTCTGTAAAGATACGGTTTAGGAATAAATGTGCTATTTCCTATTACAGTCTGTTCTATCCCTTGGAAAACTATGAAAAACAGTTAAAACAAAAATTAAGTCCTGTATTATCTTGTAGACTTACTGAATAGTCTGTGATCACAAATGCAAAACATCTCTGTTTTGTTAGATGAACACATTTTTTTTAAAAGAGCTGAAAGAAATAGATGGTAAGAAATAAACCAAAAGAGCACTTGCAACAACAAAAAAAAATCATACAGTAAGTGTTATAGGTATGTATTCCTTATTTAACAGAGATAAGTAATGGCCCGCAGCATTCACTTTAACTAGAGCCAAAGATCACTGGGCCATCAGTTTCTCACCTGGCATCTAGGTTGCCAAGTCAGAGAAACTACGGTTTATTTTTGACCTGTGATATTGATCTGTTTTCTAGGTGGGTCAGGCTATCACAGATAGAAAAGAGCAATTTTGAGACTTAACCCTCTGTCTCTGGGGAGTTCATCGGCCTGCTATCTCAGATTTTATAATGCCCCAGTTTATCTCTGCCAAATAAGAATCTCTAGAATGAAAACATTTGACCGTTGGTTTTGTACCTGGCAGCCTCTTCAAACTGTATGTCATCCATAGACGCTGTCACACAAGACACACCAGCATGTTTCTCAGCTTCAGAAGAGACACATGGACACACAGTTACCATAGTGCATTTGCAGCAAGCTATTCACCTATATATTTGTGCATGAGAGACAGAGATGAAACACAGTAGATCCCAGTTCCTTTGATGACCCTAATGCAAGTCTGCAGTGGATCCCTTAGAAAAAAAGAAGCCCAATAAGATTAAAGTTAATATCTACCATGAATGATGATGACAATTATCCTACTTAGTGTGAAAAGCTCTATTTAAGGCCTTTCTTTAAAAATGAGCATTCTGGTAAGAGAGCACTAGTAAGTATGTTGCAGGACAAAAAAAAAGTCACAAAGCATTAACAATCCTACAGAAATCTCAGCAATCTCCTTCAAAACAGGATGTTGTGAATATCAGCTATATTAAACCAGTGTGGAAGTTTTATGTCAGTTGAGGATTCTCAGACACGGGAGAAAGACCTACAGGCTTATTAGCGTGGTCGCAGCAGTGGAAAGCAGGTAAGTACATGTCCTCAGTACTGTACTAAGAGTGCAGGAATTAAATGAAAGCAAATACAAACAAGTTTTTAAAAAATCAAACCCAAGTATTTACTTATTGTAAAATATTTTTACCAAAATTTAAATGGTGTTCTTCATCTCCCTAGGAAGCATTTGGTTATGAAAAATAATGCACCCTATTTGTATTATGAAAGTTAATCTGGAAAAGGTAAACATCTTCTTTACTGTTAATATTTAATAGCCCAATAGTTATCTTTTTACAGCATGTCATTCTGATTTATTACTTATTTGACCATAGCACCTAGAGTTCCAAGTCAGAAGCTACATCTCCAGCACAGTAGGAGTTGTATAAACACAGGAAATCCCTGTTCCAAAAAGTTTCCCAAGAGAGACAGAGGCAAAAAGAGGATGAGCAGGAAACCTAGAAAACAGGTTTGCCCAACAGGCAAGAGCTCTCACCTCCAAGCAACCCAATATTTTTAGTGAGCAGCGCAAGAAAAAGCTTGAAGGAATTAGAGGATGGTGCACGAGTTGTACCAGTGAGGAGTTCCCTTTGAAAATATGAGGGTAAAACTCATGACGGCATTTACAAGAAAGACAGCAAATTGTGATGAAAGGGAAGAGGTCGCTAACGACTAAGAGGCTGGAGTTGCCACTGTGACAGGTAACACAGGATGTCGATAGTCATAAATAGCCTCAAAAGCGAGGAAGCAGCCAGCCAGGTGGATCACATCTAAAGCAGCAGGATATGAAATTAGGAAGGTGTAAAGCCCAGCACTTGCAACTGCACCGACTGGCACTAATGCGGGTGAAAGACTGCAAAGCCAGTCAAATCCCTGACTGGCATCTTGAGTTTGCTGTGAGAAAAAATGCAAAGCAAGGAAAAGGTGTTAAAAGTCCTTTGTGTGCAACTGGATTAGCCCTGTGGGTTGAATGCCTGCTGCTGCCCTAAGGCTAACCAAGCAAAAGCAATTATGAAAGTGAGCTGTGGTGGCAGATTTGCAGCTGATGAAGATCATCACAGCTTAACCAAAGTCCAGGGGAGCAAGGACCAACCATTGTAGCAGCAGGGGCTCTGCCACTGCGATCAGTTCAGAGTCCCTCCACAAAGAGCACTGCTAAGGAGTAAATCACCGAAGGGCTGAAATCAAATGACTTCATCGTGCTAGAATAAATCGCAAAAAAAACAACCCGGTGTGACTGTATTGGGAAGTTGCTACATTCTAGGTAGTTTCTGGGTTACTGTGTGGGACAAGTTCTCCAGGATCCCAACTCTATATAGGAAGAGTGGCTTACGTAAAGCCGCACACACCCACACAGCGAGTGCACCACGGTCACCACGTCGCGCAGAGACGCCATCCAGACGTGAGTTCCCCAAATATACCCGCTATTCTCCGCAAGGCTCATTATGGACTGCTAATGTATGCAGCCGTACTTGGAAACGGAGTTCAGTGACAGCAGAGGTGGCAGAGCCTTGGGTTTTCTCAGTGCTTTAGAGGCGGCTTGTGCTTCCAGAAGTTAGCGGAGGAGATTTTAAATAAGTTTTCGAAGCTGAGTTACACCAGGCACAGAGTGCTCTGCACTCTGGTTGGATTTGTGGTCGGGTGTTTTTTTTTTTCCACCCATGTGCCAATATTCTTAAATTAGTACTTTTCTTTCTTCAAGTATTTTTTTTTCCCCATCCCTTTTTTCCCCTCTGCTGCTCTCTTTTTTAATTCTCCTCATGCTAACCGCCCCCGTCACCCCCTTCTTCCCTGTCCCCTGAGATGTGACACTCCTCTCCAGCCCCACAAGCTTTCTCGCTCCCTTCACGCCTGTTCTTAATCCGAACGCCCAAATCTCACACACTCCCCCCGGCTGAAACCTTCCCTCAAGCCCCCCTCCACCTCCACCGGGGCGAAATTTCCCCTTCTCTTCGCCTGTCACAGGCAAATACCGGGACGGGGCTACCGGTTTTCAGCAAAGGAGAGGCTATCCCCACACAGCCAACGAGTTAAAGGTTCATTTCTGAGGGGGAAG